GTAAATTATAATGATTTTTATTATGTGGGTTTCCGAGTAAACTAGATTTGAAATGATGCTATTGTGAAGACGATTTCAAATGATCGCCGTTTGTACTTAATACTTTTGGCAGGGGTGGTGTAGATAATCGTTATTTTTTTCGCTTTATTTTACATAGGAAAACGTCTTTTTCCGCACATGCTTTTGCGATAAGACATGCGAAAACGAAGCTTCAAAAGGTTATAGGAGGAAAGGCTCGACAATATCTATTAATTTTCATAACAAAAACTTCAAGCTATGAGGTTCGAAATTTCCGCGATTCCAGATCGTCGTTGCGTTAACCAATTTTCGTCTTGCAGGAGCGATCTCAACCCTAAAGGGAATGAAATGCCCAAAATTGCGTAATACGTGTATATCATGTACCTCTTCTTTGTCTGCGGAGCAGGATGCTTTGCATCTGAGTTCTTGGCATATGACGACGCTTTCTATGGGGCTGAATCGTAACAGAATCTTACTATGTTAGGAATCTGAGGTCCGGATGATAGAGAACAAAACCACTAACGTGTCAAACCACTCTAACAAGCTTCGGATTGAGTGAATCGATATAAATAAGCAGGAATCGTTCAAAGTCGGTCCCTTACCTTTCCACGTATTTTAAAAGGTACATCCGTTTAGAAATCTGTGGAGCGATATCATACTCACTATGAATTTTTTTATTTAGGGACGTAAAATGAGCGAAACTACCAGTGTCAACATTAACCTCAACTGCCTCTTTATGCCTATTAATGCTTTTCATGGTTTACCTTACCGAATTCACATAATTCCTATTTTTACTACATCAACGGAGAGATCACTCAGAGAAATAATTCAACAACCCCTATTGCCAGACGGATTAACTACCATCTTCGCGCATTTCGTCCGGGAACTGTTGTATACGCAAATATGCCATCAGAGGCTAGAATCAGTGATTATTTCAGTGAGAATCTCGATCGTGATATTATCCATATCCTCGTAGAACCTGTACCATAACGGAATTAGATTTTTTGTATATCACATCATGTAAGTGCGATATATATTCGCAAATTTTATTATTTGTATCGACTATTACCTTCGAGACATTTTTTCGTAAAATAAAGTCACACCATTTTGTTGCACGTCTATCATATTCCTATTTGCGTAACTGTCCCCCAATCATTTCGTGTAACTTCCATCGCGCCAAAAATAAAAATTTAATTGCATTATCTAGCAACGCAGTGCATAAACCAGATTTTTTAACGCCATATACCAATATAAAACGATAACATGTATTCTACATCATCTACTTTAACGGAAGAAAGGTCAACTCGCACGATGGCGGACGTAATAAGGAATTATAAGACGGAAGAACTTATCAACTATTTGCGGCAAACTACCGAATCGATATGCCAATTTTTCGCCGCACAGCCCTATGGCTGTGCGGCTGTGTGGAGGCAGGAAGACTTAAACCTAGGTAATGACGATTTATCAATTCTGCGTAAAGAAAATATATCTGGTCATGATTTTGTCGAGTTAACTAAGGAGAATTTTTGCAGTTATGGTCTGAAAGGTGGCCCCGCGACAAGACTTGCAAAATTTATCAAAGGTCTCGAGGAAAAGCTAAGAACCTATTCATCGTATAAAACTCTGGATGACTTGGAAGAAATGTCACGTAAGAATAAGGTTAATGGGGAAGATATAACGAATATCAAGCAGTTCACACCTGGCAAGTGATACATTATTTTTTTGGCATTTTTTAACGATGGTTGTCATCGAAATTTTAATCATATGTTGTTGTTTTTTCTAGTGTTCGAGGAAATAGACGATAATGACAAAGCATTCAACCACTGCATGGATGATATAATTCTGAAATTATCAAACGTAGAGACTATGACGGACGCCAATGAAGCAACGAGATGCGAATTTATTTCGGCAATTCTAATGCGTCGATCGATATCGCTAAACGAGTTACCACCCAAGGTATCTTTATAGTACTGCAAAAGGATATTTCTGGTGAAGAATCAACGGGACGAGTCGACTATGCGATAAAGTGGTTAGAGGACCTACTTTGTATTACGGAAGGAAAACCACATAACATCAAGATTGGGTATGCTCAGATCTAGCACAACTCGAAAGTACATACCAGACTAATAAGAAGAAACGGGACAGCGGATGAGGCATTTGGTAACGAGTATTTCGACTACCTCTATGGGATCGTATCTACGGGTATGTGGAAAATTTTACTAGATCATTACTCAGGTGGGACCTAGGTCTCACTTTTTATCATGTAATTTTTTGCTAATAATCGCGTTTATTTTTAGCCATGGAGTGGCATATATACGTCGGACGGTATTTACTGTACGAATAGTAGCGAGTATCAGATTAACCTTACAAAAACCCACGATCAAAGAAATGTACTTCGAAACAGTGTGAAAAAGGTATTTGGAATTATCGTATTATTGTTGAAGGATCGGATAACCGTTGATAGTTCCCCCGGCAAATAAAAGGGCCAGAATCAGAAAGATTGTCAAAAAGTAATGGGTATTTCACCGTCTCACGTGTAATTGTTTGTACCATAACCAAGCTATTTTATTTGTAACAATAAAGAAATTAGACCATTTTCTCAATTACTATTGTAAAGAACATGTTCTAATAAATCAGTGCACGGCAACTCCTGCCTTGAGCGCGACTATTTATTCTTTTTCGACTTCCTACGCCCTTTCTTCGCAAATTTCTTTGCAGGTTTCTTTGCAGATTTCTCCTGAGATTCTTCCCGTATCACTCCTGCCGGCTTAGCCATATGATATGTTTCGTATACACGACGATTAAATTCCTCTACTGGTATCAGCTCGCCAGTGTCCTCCATTATGGCGCATATCTTCTCTGGATGGTAGATGTAGTTCGTAAGACCTTGCCTCAGATCAATCCCCAAGTATTCTATGTTTTGTGCCATGTCATCCCATTGGAACATGATCCCACGATCATCTAACATCCAAACAACCATTCCAGAATGGTCTACAACACCGGGTGGACGCCAGTGATACCAAAAATATCACAGAAGTACTCCCTATCTTCTGGGTGCAATAACCTTTCGTCTCTAGTTTTATGGAATCCTCGAGGATCATTCTTCAGTTTCTCAAGCAAATCTTGCAATTCCTGCATGGTGTCTTCACTTTTGCTGCTGCACTGATATTGTGCGAGATTTGATCGGAAGATCCGGCCTCCATCGAGATAGACGAATCCATGAATTTGTTTCCGCACAATTCCCGAACTCCCAAGTTTCTATTTTTGGAATAATTATCCCATTCTGATCTTGAGGGAAGAAGCAATGATCGTTCTCTTGTCGGACTATGATCAAGCGTTTCTTCTGCTCTCTGGTGGGAGCTGTGACTGACGTTCCGAATGTCGCTTTGATGATCTTGCCCTTGTCCGATTTCCATGATACGTTGATTGTGGTTGGGCACATTCTGGATGTATCTGTATCAACTACCCCAGCAGCCTCTCAATTAACCAATGAGCGGCCTGAAAGTTTGTGTAATGTGCAGATCATTTGTGGAGCGTACTGATTTCCTAATTAGATTGAGAATCTTCTTGCTGATAATCTCTAAATAGGGATTTACATCCTCATGACTTAGTTGAATTTTATCGATAGCAATAATCGACTTAGTCCCTCCCGTTATTGCTAACTATGATGTTATTATTAGTATGATTATAATTACTACTCATGAATAAATTTTTAGTTTTACCACTAATAATATTACTATTGCAATCACTTGTACGATGAAAGCAAATTCCACCAATGTTCGAGAGAAAGGCCACTAAAGCAATTAAGAAATAACAACGAACGACAACAAAAAAACCCAAAGTAACAACAATAGTAAAATAAAAAACAAAAAGTTTATTACAACAAGCGCTTTAGAACGATATTTTTTGTTTAACGTTTATAACGCGTTTACTTTAATTATGTACATTTCAATATTAGTATCGAACAAAGGAAGTTTTGTAAAGTATAAGTACATCGACTATGTTGTCTGTTCGTAACAAAAATACCTTTAATTAAGATATCTTCTTCATATTGAGACTTCTCTGTTCATGCTCAGTGTAACAAAATTAATTGTAAGCGACTGAGATAGTACAACGATAACATAACAATGATATTTCATGTTTATTCTATTAATATGTAATAGTAATATTATTAGTGGTAGAACTAGAAATTGACAGTATGAGTAGTAGGGAGGCAATCATTTCGCCGACAATCATTTCACCGACAAATGTTCACCAACATTATTTCAAAATTATCCTTTTTAGGTAATTAGTTGTCGGCGAAATGAACTGTCGGTGAAATGATTGTCGGATGAAATGATACGGACCCTGAGTAGTAATTATAATCATACCAATCAATAATAACTATAGTTAGCAATAACGGGAGGTACTAACGCTAAGTCGATTATTGCTATCGACTAACGCTAAATCATGAGGATGTAAATCCCTATTTAGAAATTATCAGCCGAAGATTCTCAATTAGGCTAGTCGAATCTAATTAGGAAATCAGTACGCTCCATAAACGATCTGCACATTACACAAAATTTTCAGGCCGCTCATTGGTTAATTGAGAAAATTTTGCTGAGGCTGGGCTGCTGGGGTAGTTTTATTTGTACGTTACTGAAAAAAATTTTTTTTTCACCCTACAGACATACCGCTCTCCACATCATCTCACAATATACATTTATTCATTATACTCCTCTTACAATACAAAAAATGCCTGTCTCCATGTCATTAACTGTATATAGTGTTGAACAAAATGTAGAAGCTCGCTCTGAACACGGCTGCCATTCGAAACTTCCCCGCTTATCAGCGGGTTAATAATTATGAAATACGGCTTAGCCGCATACCTGAAGGGAAACCGCAGCGGATATACTTTACATACTTTATCCCTGATCCAGAAATAACAGGCGACAGTAGCGAGGAACCTTTTGAACCTTTAACCGGTGGCGCATTACAAACATGGAAAATTCTCGTACTTGGCGCTACTCTGACTCCTCCCAAACCCCCAATCTGCTGCTGTAAAAAATTAAGATACACAAACATGAACTCGACCCGCCGCCGCCGCCGCCGCCACTGCCACCGCCAAACGAAATAATCCCCATGCTAGGCATACGTCCCCGAAGAAATCGACCATGAATTAATAGTCGAATCCGTAAGATCGTTCGGATCTTTCACTTATATCCGTAGCGATACGATATATAATATTCGATTCTCGACGTATGGACAAGGACTGTCACTCATGACCTCTTGCCGACTGAATAGGGCGGTATTTCTTACCGACTTAGATGAGTCAAGTTACGGGTTTTAATGTGTTAAGCCGTCTAAACATGCAGATTGCCAGTGATCGCTAAATTTATCGGAAAGGTTACGAGCGTATCATTTTCTCACAAATAACTCCCCCCAACTCGAATATAATGTGCGGCTCTCCCACGGACTAAAACTTTCGGTGACTGTTTCTGAATATATACGGAAGGGAGAAAGAACCGATAGGCAAGGACACTTGGAGAGAGAAGGTGGCGAGACGATTAGAGAGTGTGGAAGACTATCGTACGTTCAAACGTCTACGCGGACAAGGAAATGAAAGTACGTGAAGTAATAGTGACGCACCCCACGACCGGCAGACTTTCGAAATCTATAACCGCTGCTCAGAAAAATGCCACAGTCCAATCCACAGAGACTTTAATATATACGAAGGCGTTCTCTATTGCGATGTTTTACATTTCTCTTTTGTTGGATGATTCGGTACATTCTTATAATCACAGAGTCCGGGAGAGACATTTGGTGAGCTCTTACAGAGGATCCACTAAATATACGAATGTAAGAGCATTTCTGTGTGAACAAGTGAGGGAATTAAATATCTCGTCAACCCAGACGGACACAGAACTGTCCTAAACGCAAAAGATACAACGACATCCAAATCATCGGTCGCAAAACATGTACAAGAATTACACAAAGAGCAAACGTCCAGTACCGTTGTCGCCACGAAAAAAGATTACAAGAGGCAAGAGAAAGGTTATATAAGAAGTGTCAACTACGTCTATAATTAAGAAACGACAAGCAGATGAAAAATGTATTCAGACAATAACGAATCAAATAAAAAGCAAAAAACGTCTGTAGATAATTAATCGAGTTAAACTTATTGAGTTCTAACTTCATATTTCTTATGTGTTAATGTACTGTGCGGACACTTTAATCGGGCGGGAACGTGAAGAAGAAGCACGGATCCGTCGACGTGTTACCATGCTATGGGTACGTCAGCACACTGTAACCTTTTCGAACAGAAGATGAGAAGCCGTCTACGGGAACGTGCGAGGGTATACGTGCGACATGCCTATCAAGCTCCATCGTGGGCTTTAAGGGCAACCCGTAGCATGGAAGAAATACGTCGTTCGCCACCACCACAGTGGGTTGCGATACCAAGACGCACGGATCAAGATGCATCAGGTAAATCAGTGTAATAAACAATCACTCGTTACACCTGTCAAGTAAAAAGAGTTATGTCATTGATCAAAACCAATATACTTTTCATTAGCATCACAACCAAGACGACCATCGAGGCCTTCCGTTCGACAGACATCAAGCGATGCAAGCAGCCAGTACGTTTAAGTTTAATAAATATATCAGGTGATAAAACGATGTGCTAACATGATTTTCTTGAAGGGCATCTACTTCACGTCCTATGACTACGGCGAACCCTCCTCCAACGAAGAAGAAGCAATCAGTTTACGATATGTTGCGCGCCGAAAATTTTACAGATCCCTTATTAGGGTATCGGCATGCGCAACGTAAACAAAATTAATATATATATTTGCTATTGCACATTATTATTATTATGTATATATCTGTTTATTTGTATTAGTATTAAAGCTTACTTAGTATTAGTCCTAACACATAAGATTGTGGTCAAAATGATCGCCAAGTTTATACATGACATTTTTCGATAAACCAACCAATGCGATGTAATAAAACAACGATATTAAAGAAACATATTTTATTCTGTCTAATCAACATTAAATACACTGACCATCGAATAAAGCATGCTATTTACCTTTTGTCGGATTAACGGGATTGACTGTATATTTACTTCCTCGGCTGGCAAACTTGATCCATCCCAGAACCATGTTTTTCGCCGAGATATTAACTCAGATTACGAGTCATCAAAGAAAAGAATGGGATGGATCCGTGTAATGGTTCCTACTCATGTAGTTGCCTTCCAGTGACCCCTGCGAGAAATAACAATAAAACGGAACACTGCGGTTTGCCGCAGCAAGTGTTTTTGTATGGTAGTAGAATTCCTGTATTAATATTGTATATAAATTAAAAATTAGAGATTGAGCTCTGACTTAGTGGGTCCTTTATTGGCACAGCTACAGTGGACTGCTGAAGCTGTTTTTTTAAATTATATTAATATATACCCGTGATAGATGAAGGGTACCTAATCTATTTGCTTCCGTTCGCGTGCTTTTGAAATAAGAAACTTGTAGAAGCCTTCAAAAGGTAGATATAGGCGATTAATGCACTTCACAGAGGCACAGGTAAAGATTGCACTATTACTGTGCGAAGTAGATGGGCACTGTGCAAAGGTAGGGGATAGACGTGAATAAACTTTCGCTGCACTTTACCGTGTTTGCTATAAAAAGCATGGAAACAAACGCGTGATCTTGTACGCGATCCTCCAAAAGGAAAATGAGCGAAAGGCATCCATGTTCTGTCATCTACTCACCTAATCTTCTCTAATAGAGCATTATTACGTAAACGTCGTTGGAACTCAATGGTAATGGGGGGTTTCGGTGTGTTACTTAGCAGGTAAAATGGAAACTGAGTTGAAAGAACATATTTGTGTAACTATAGTTTATTTGTGACATAAAACAAATCATTTACGTGACGATAAAGCACCAATTGCCAATGTTAAGGGAGGATTTGTCTTGTATACATACTATGGGTGAAGTCTATTCCCTTGTAAGCTGGCATGATCATGCACTGGAAAACATAATGCTTCAATGACATAATTATATCGACAATTGCACAGCAACAACTGGGCGAGTATTTATGGTATGGGTTTATTTTGCGTCACTTTTGTCTATAATCAGCTACTTTATCCAATAGTAAATATTAAGACACATACACGAAAAATCGGTGGTTCAACTGGTCCAGCAAGAAGAGTATTTCATGGATCAGGATCAGTCAATGGTTTAACGTATTTAGACCAATAGCTTGACACTCCGACGCAATCTGGTACGCTGCGAACTCGATTTAGGTAGGCTAAAACGCGTTACAAAATCATGACTGTTAGCATGCGTGATTTTACAATACCCAAATTAGTTCAAAACAATACCTGGATAGATATCTCCATCGTATCTTCCGAATGGTGCTTTCAGTATGAAATCAGGAAGTGCCCACGCATCTACGAGGGGAATAGCTTCTTTTCTGGTCTTTCGACAAAGATCGTAAAACACCTTCTTAATCATCTTGGCCTGGCTAGGTGAAAAATAGCCTTCCTCCAAGAATAACTCGAGCAATGATTTCATGACGTATGTTCCCCACAATTGACCCATTTGAATTAAAATTGGTAAAAGATTTTTATACTCTGTGGATTCATATTCACCGAGTCCATTCAGATATTCCGATAGTATATAGTGGTGAGTGTGAATTTCTGCAAGTTTGATAAGATGTACTATATTGTCATTCCATGCAGCAACCCCACCACCTGTTAGGGTTGTTTCAATCGTCTTTGCCTGAAAGGCAAATTAATTATTAGGTATAAGGATTATCGTTTGTAACTCGTGTCTCTCGATAAATTTTCGATCTGTACCTTTCGAATTAATAACCACGCAAGCGCCCCCCTTATGAATTTAAAGTCAAGAATCTCGTTTTCGGACATCATCGTACTACTTGATTGGGAGAGAGCCTCTTGCACGTTATTAAGGTATTCAACAGAACCCTCAAGTTTGATGCCGTCGGAGGCCATCTTCAGCGATTTCAATACATATTTCTTCACCATACAAGTAAAAAGAGAATTAAACAATGAAATAAAGATAGATAACCGTCATAATCAATAAACAAAAAGTTTACATACCGCTGTTTGACCCATCAATGCATAATTGTCTCCACCACCTGTGCAAATAATCAACAAATTCGATAAACCAGTCCTGTCTCTGTCGTGCTATCAACCATTGTTAAACACATTAATACTCACCAGTCGTGATGGGGCCAAAATCGTTTATACATTCTCCAATAGCATTATACGCCGAATATGCATGACCTCCCAACGATCGTCTGCAAAACTCTAGTATTTCTACTGCCCACCATCCATACACGCCCTTCAATCCCGCCGATATGGCATGAATATCCAAGACATTATTAAGAAAAATAGTACCGTCATCGACATTTTGTACAAGTACATCCCATTTTCTGCGCGTAATTCTTTATTCAAATAATATGCTATGTTAGTCGCATATGCACGAAGATTTGATAGTCAGGTACAGGCTTACCTATCGATTATATTTGCGACGTAGAGGCCAGCGATTCCAGGCATTAATTGCACGTAATAGGATTGAAAGTCCATAATCTGTTCATTATTTTCACCTTGCCTCCTCACACACCCATATCTGCATGCAATAGTCAATCCCCGGGAAACCGCTAAAGTTGTGGCAATTATCGTTTCCAGTCTTTCTCCAATTAGGGGTGCATACGATAATGCTGGGTTGGGAGTTGGGTGATATTTGCCATCCGGTGAGACGCTCGCCCATCTCATCATCATGTTTGTTCGCGGTATACGTAACCCAGTAAATTGTATCCAACCGTTATCAAGACCGTTTCTTCCACACTTGGCCCCAATATTACCGGCAGTTACACCTACAACCAGACGGCCTGTCTTCCTATTGCGTAAAGGAACCATAAACCAGTCTATCCCACATTTTTTCCCATCAACAACCGTCTGAGCAAGTACAATTGCATGAGTTGCTGTCTCTCCTGCCAGACCAATCCACCTTTCGAAAATGATTTAGACGTGATGTGAATTATCTCTCGCATAATAAAGCTAATGGCTTGTTAACAATTACTCACCATTTTGTTGACAAAAGGCTAGGAGAATTGATTATAAACTCATCAGTCTTCTTGTCGAAAGTTGCCGTTGTCTCTAATCCGCGCAAGAAAGAACTATACCCTAACTCTGTCTGTGATGAACAATCATTTATATATGTATTAAATTGAATGCTTGCATAAACATGATCTCATCGAACCATGTGGTCAAATTTTGAAATTTTTGTCTCTGTTTCAAGCATACCATGGCGAAACAACCAATAGTGCGCCATTTTAACACATCGCCGATCCATTCGTTGTATTGCTCAGAAGTGCTAAATAATCTCAAAGCTTGAGGAAAAAGAAAGTCAGCTACATACGATCTCATGTTGAATGATTCCGAGTATTGACTATGTATGCAACAAAAAAATGTCAATAGGGGAACGTTCGATCACACTTTACAAGATCTGTCAACTTGCGCCCAACTTACCACATAGCCAAGTGAAATGCACGAACACGCAGCGAACTCTTCAGCATATCTTTCACTTCAACATATCTTCTTAACTGCCGCATGGTTCTAATTTACGAATATGAGCTAATTCACTCAACAATGTCTGTTGTTTGCGTTCCGTCGTTTTTCATCTTTGGATACTTACACTTCACGCTGCTCAGCATTAGACGCATCGAAAATATACTCATCGCCTAAATACAGCTCTGGATCACGTTGTATAAGTCTATACGCATCGTCCTGATATACAAAATTTAATGTCGGTACACCTGAATTTTCGCTTAGATATAACGCTGGCAATAAATTCTTACCAGTGCTTCAGAAAATTCTTTCCCTCCGGCAAAGAATGCTTTCATTTGATTAACATCAAACGATGCATTGGCGCGTTCTCGTGCCAAGTCTGCTGGGCCAGTTGAATGAATGAGTTGTTGTTGAATAGCACTTAGTCGTTTGCGAGCGATTTCCTCGGAAGACATGTTTAAACCAGTTCACTATTACCATTTTGCTTGTGAGGGAAGTATTTCTTGTGATTGGCCGAAAAATGCAGATCAATTTTCAAGAGAGATACAAATACGTACTTGAAAAAAAGAGAGAGAAATTATATTAATATGGTGCCCAAAATGGCTAGTCAAAAATCACGAGAGAGCGGTTGCAGCTATTTTTAACACTCATGATTCAAATCGTACAGTTCAACAGTCCGGTACTTAATTCAATAAAGATCAGTCGGCAGCGCACATTAGTCCTCGAGTCAATCGTCGGTTGGATTAATTCAGTGATACACTGGCTCAGGTAGTGATGCGTTGCTATCGTAATCGCCACCGAAATAACCGCTGGACAATTTGTCCATAGGAATTACTGATTCCGGAGATATCGATAATTTACTAGAGGACGAATTATTAATAATAATATATTTTAGAGTATAAAAAACCATTGTTTAATTAATAATAACAAAGAAATCGAGCAATTGGATATACACATCGAATCTGGCTACTTGTTATTATATACTGTATATTAGCTCCTGACATATCCACTCAATTTCTGTACGATTTGTGTGATACTAGTGAAATTGCAGACACCCTCTGGTACTATCGAAGTTACGCAGAATTAGGGAAGAATATACGTCATATTTGATTTTGAAGACATTCTAAAAAAAAAGTTCAAATGACAATTGAAACATGGCTTTAGTTTTAATTTAATAGATATAGGAATCAGTTCATTGTTGTGAGCATGATTTAGGTAATGCATCTGGAGAATTCTTGCAGTAAATGATGATTGAAACATGAAATTAATGCTGTGATACTAATGGTTTAGAGCTCAATCAAAAATAAACATCTCGGAAGCTTTAAATTGTGAATGAAGTCTATTATATTAATATTGTAGTTGGTAGTAGCAAAATTTGTTCCAAAAAATACAACTGAAAAAACTGCTAATTATAAGGTGGGCTTAATTCATTAATATTAATATTAAAGTATTACTATTACAGCTTTATGTTAGCCGGTTTATAGTTAACTGATATTACAACAATGAAAGAAAAAATTTTAATTTTAAAATTCTTTTATTTAAAATTCAGTGATAAAGATCTTATTATCAGGTATGGGTATTTTGATACGAGCTACGATATATCTTTTTCTGACATTGAAATTAAAAAACGAATAGAATTCTAATTATAGCGTTTGTATTAACACTGAAAAATCGTCACAGAATGACGATATTCCTGCTGACTCATACCGTGTAAGTGTAGGAAATAATCAAATCAAAGCCTTGTAAGCATTGTTTGCTGCATTAACTGTTGTGTGTTAGATCGGAATTATTGCATAATGTATGGATATAGTTTGCATTATGCTTCAGTCTTGTCTAATCACTCTGTCAAGTTTCTGGACACGTTGTCTCACACTAATATTATGGTACTGTACGCGAGATGAGAGCTCAGTTGCATATTACAAGCCACGATTTCAAATGTCATAAGGGCAACAGCTAATGTCTGATCCATTGGAGTTAGATATTTTTCCGTTAATGCTGATTACTTTTTTTTAAAAAAAAACAATCGTATTGGTAAACATCCATCGAAAACTTTTTGCCTGGTTTCTTTCCTTGCTCGGGTTAATTACACTAATAGGAGACGCGTATTCTCGGATATAGTCATAGATCATCTACGTAATGTCTGTAATTAACTTATCTAGTGTCTGATGTTTTAATGGTATGTGTCAAAGTGTATAAGTTTGATACATCAAGTTTAATGCAATGCTGCACCGCCCGCTCTTCGTCACATCCTATATATTTCGTCGAGATAATCGAAGTTGTGCTTCGCACGGGATGAGAGTGTTAGGTATTTGGCATGTGGATAGCTTTTGGCGGTTCATTTGATCTATCGTAATTAATTATTACTAATCCTCTGGTTTATTATTAATATACTAATACCATGTTATTCCGAACGGACATAAATTCTGACCCGACATACAGCATCCATAAATTGTTAGTCAAATAATTATATGCATCAAAGCCTATCTATCACATAAGATACTTTTTGCATTATTCCTTAACAATAATTTTGGAAAGCATTTGCCCAGCAAGTAGCTTTGCCTGTTAAAACAAAGCGAGCTACATACACTTTCGCTTGTTTCACATTTTGTCCAAGCACGCCTAATGTTCAACATGAGCACAACGATGGAAACCATTTTCTCGTGCTCTAAAAACCTCTTCCTGTTATTTACTTCCTCGTGTTCTCCCTATTAGCTTGATTAGATTCCCCCAACCGGAAAATAGGATTTATCAAGACATCCTATTCCGAAATGATGGATTGCTGAAAGGTGTCAATTTTTGCCGTGATCATCTTTTTTAACGGCACGTTGACCAATTTGCTCAAGATTTTCTGTGGGCCGTTGACGTATTAGTATGCTAATGTCCGCTGAGAAGAATGGACTCGAATCGTATTTAGGTATTTATACATACAATGTATTGATACAATGGAAGAACTTAGCGAATTGCACTCAGTACGAACAAGCAGAATAAGCGTTTGTTCATAATAACATTATGACCTTTATTAATAAAATCTTGTATGGGGCTATTACAGCAAATGATTATTACTGTAAATATAATGGGTCATTACGATGCAGGTCAGATTAAAGTCTTAATATTGGTATACCGTATAAGATCGGATATGATGGATATCACCGTAATCGGGTTCGCTACTGCTTAGGTGCATGATCATCATAGTAATATTACTCAACAGAGGGATAATAGAGATTGACCGAACCTTGCGTTACGCGCTTGACGTTTTCACTCGATAATTATGTATTTCAATAAAACTTTCACTGGCATAGCAATCCGTTGCTATAAACACACATACCATATCTGACATTTTTGAAAGCACGTGCAAAGTCCAAACCATGTACTAAGTAATATCAACCAAGTTCTTGTAAAGAGAGAAGTAACAACAGGCTGAATATATCCAAACTTTAAGCCCATGAACGAGCAGGGTATCAGGTGATTTATGTGGTAAAATGCACGTCTAGTATCTATTGGTATTAAACATGCTTTAGATACGTGTGTGAGGAATTAATCCATCATTGTCATTAGCATTAGCATCATCGCCTGTAAGCAGGTATTATGCTCGCAAACTCTGACATGTGTGCATGCGAAGTGCATGTTCTATTTTTGCTTTTTGCCGGGGGTGACTAGTTCTCCGTAGTAGTGCTCAGGGCAATAACCGATAATTCAAAGCATATGTTGCACATATGAATACGTATAATTATATGTATTAAATTACATACGACGCCATTTTCATATGCGCATGTCATACAACCCTGTAATAAAAAATGAGAAAATCCCATTATTATTATTATTGCATATACCACGTATAATATAAAATTAATAAAGTTCTTTTACCGAAAGTCCAGTATTCCATGTCGTTTTATTTGGCAGGGTCTAGATGAGAAAATTAATGAAATACAAACAGGAAACGGAATATTGTTTATTCGTCTTTTATTGTTGACATAATAAGTGTTAGATAAACAAATATTCATATCGATATCTATTATCCAAGACTGGGCAGCCAACTGCAACCGTTCAATAAACGTACTGGTAATGCTAATGTCGAACACGACTACATCTTCATATTGTCAACATGTTACATGAGTTCGAGGACAATATTTTAAGGATTCGAAAACAATCAATCACGATTTTGGTTCAAATTTGTACGATCGCTCTGAGTAACCTGTTACCAAATCCGTCTTGTACTATAAATAACCATCAAAATCTGAAATTGGTTGCAGCATTTGTACTTGGCTTCTTGCAATTAATTTTGCTAAGTATTTTCTGATAAATCGTGTGCTACATTTCATCTATACGCTGAATTTCCAGACTTTCGCACTGCATTTCGAACCTTCGCTCTGCAAAGGAATCCCGATCTACCATGCTGTCGTACATTGATGGCCGGTCTAAACATTAATAGAACACTTATAGGGCTCATGTGCGGGGAGCAGCAAACTGAATTGCATGTGATACTAATCTGGGTTTGGTATTGACGGTCGATGATAATGTCATAGCCAAGGAAATGACAGTAAATCAATTAACACTATTATGTTTTCTATATAAAGCGCGTGGCTTGGGGATTTGCATTGAGTGCTTTACTTTGGACTGACTATGAAATTATTGATATTATGTATATGGAAATTTCTTTGTCATATAGAGCTAATTTTGGACATTTCGGCATGCGATACGGCCGATTACATCCGATGCTTGCGTAACGTAACCATCCACCTGGATAATGGATGATTGAATGTAGATATTGTTGTCAAAGCGTTGCATGTGGTATAATGTGGTATAGTGAAAGAGTGGGGGTGGCGGAAAAGAAGTGGAGTGTAAAGTGGTTGAACCTTTTTATTTTTGGATAATATTAATATCAGAACACATCTGACAAAAAAAAAACTTGTAACAACTGTCGATCATTACGGGAGGAAACCCGCTTGAAACAGTGTCAAGGACTATTGTTTGAATATGGTAGGAATATTAATTACTTGAATTAAAGTTTGGGGCTAAATGATAGGCAGAGAAATAAAGCACACACAACTCGATTCGAGTGGGCCTGTGACGTACAGACCGTCTTTGATGATTCTTTTGCTGTGGCTCTTTATTCTATATAAATTCAACCGTTTCCTTATCCTTCATTAAATTTTACTCAAAGTATTAAATTATTATTTTCCAATTCAAGCGAACAAACCTTTCACCGCTCTAATATAGAACTTCATATAATCACTACTGTTTCACCCTTTGTGTCATCCTTGTTATATTCTCAACCTTCCAAAAAAGTCAAACATACGTCGATCAAATATCTTGATTGGTATCAACCAAGTCATACGACTGATCTATAAATTATTTCATATCATCATCTGCAATACTTTAACTAGCATACGGGGACGACTGTTATATTACTCTCGCATTTTTGCTCTTAACGGGCGCCCCTGCGGGTCATTATTCTACTTGGCAATTCCTCTCCTTCTCTAAACCTCAAAATAATTCCCTCTCAACATGGCTAAATCGCAAAGGTTGATCCTTTGTTTGATAGTTGCCGTTCTCGCTTTATGTAAGTATCCTATGTTCAAACCATAATATAACTAGACAAACATAAACCATTACCGGTCAAGGCGGAAAGGAAAAGAATAGAAAAAGAAAAAGAAATCGTCAACAACTGGCATACAAAAACATGCTCGCAGAACGACAGTTACTCCCAATCCAATGTCGAATTGTTCCTTCTCTTGTACTTACTTTTTTTTTTCACTCTTTCCTCGTCTTAGTTATTGGAACCAATGCTATTCCTATCGTAAGGGATGTAACAAATCCTATTGGGGTGAACGCACCGTCCACCTCCACCTCCACACCTGCCCCTGCAAAACCTACGCCAACGTCCTCCAAGTCCGCTACTGCTAGTCCAACTCAAAAGCCCTCACCAACTCCAACAACCAGTTCTGATTCCAGCTCTGATTCCAACACGGACTCTAACTCGGACTCTAGTCCCACCTCTAGCCCAAGCGAGGACAATTCTGCTGCAGCCACAGCTACTCCGCCTAGTACTGGATTACCTGGGACACAATTGAAGACTTCTACCGGGCCCATAGTAGCTGCCAGTGTCGTGTCCTCATTGGTGATTGTAATATTAGTGGGATCTCTGATCGCTTCGAAACGGAGATGAAAAAAAAAACAAACAAAAACCAAAACATAACAAAACAAATAAAAACACGGTTTTTGAATGGAGAGAACCAAATTATACGACTCTCAGGTTCATTAGAACGACTTACAAAGGACTATATTGCAAGCCAAGATAGAACCTTGTAATTCGGGTTTCCCACAAGTTGCTGCAACATTGATTGGGGCTGCGAGGAGTTAACTCTGCGCAAAGTTGCGCATCGAGTTTGGTGGTGTGTGGAGTTGTATAAAAATATTTCCTTTTTTTTTTTTTTGTAATTCTGGGAATGTACATGTGTAATTCGTTAGATTGAATAGAAACTTTTGTAAATGGAATGTCAATGTCCAACGTCAAGTTAATAAAACCGCAGACACGCCTTAATTTTCTAATTTATTACGAGTGAATTAATGAAAGTTGAGAGAGAGGACGGGACGGGAGAAAGGGTGGTAAAGATTCTATATTACTAGTAACTTATTATCTATAATAATAATAATAGTCTTCTATTCGATGATGCTCAATTGCCATCACCACTAAACATATTGCTCACCAACAGGTTCATTTCACTTTCACCTTATCCATTTCAACGTTCTTCCAATGCGCATACTCGACTTTGAGCACATTAGGCACGTTTGTCGAGTCTTTGATGTAGAAATATTTTGCAACCGGGGAATCAATCAACTTCTGATACGCTCCAATAGGACGCAAGACATGTTCAACCAACACAAACCAGCACGACGCGAATATAGACCCGATAACATAACCAACAATTACTTGGGTTGGGGTGTGATAATTCAGGTAGATCCTGTTGCGCAGAAAATGTGTTCAATTTATACAGCTGAGCGGTCTAGATTTCTTTCCAATACGTACACCAAACTTGCCTTGAAAACGAGACTAGAATTGTGCCCAAGAGAATACCAACTGATATCGGGTGCTTCCAATTATGGTTATCAAACGTGATCCTGAGCAAATTCGAAAACTGAATGAACCGTTTTCTCTTTATATGTATCTTTATCAGTCTTTCTTCTAGTCTTACCGCGTGTACAAATGTAGAATCGCAAACACTGCAAAATAGCCCACGAATTGCGCATGCGAAGACGGCATGCCATATCCGTCTCCTAATTTGTCTATAAATTTTGTCAATAAAGTAAAACATACGTACTTTTTTTTTTTCCCATTCACATCCTACCAACCAATCGGTCTCTGTTCTCGTATGACTCTTTTCAGAATAGCATTTGCCAATTCGCATGTTAACTGTCCTATAAACATGTTGATAGCGACTACTTCTCGCCTAGCTATTATTGTAGTTACATACGCCACAAGAATGGCTAGCGGAGACAATGTCACGTACGCTAACAAATATGATAATGGGTCATCGGGATTAAAGATGACATGCGTCAAAGAGAGTGCCGTGGTGGTTTGCACATTTGTCATAATTTTTGAAAGAAAGAAAGAAAGAAAGAAAGAAAGAAAAGGAGAGTAAATAAGGCCTCCCTATATGCATATCGTCTTTGATTGGTTGAAATTTGAGAAAACACGCTAATACTAATCGAAAAAGAAGCTTAGCAATGTGTAACCATAAAAATAGCAAATGTGTAACGGTCAGAATTTGATCAAGTTGATCATTGTAGTCGTTACACTGAGGAAAAAACTTTCTTTTTTCTTCTCTTTCTATTACGCTACCAACTAATGAACGTATCTGCACGCGCAACCGCCGCCTCTCTGCGCGGCATCTTATCTCGCACGAATATCGGGAGAGTGTCTGCAAGGTCAATCGTCACGCTTGCAAAGAGGTCGTTACCAGGTGCCAGTATTGCTTTAAGAAACAGTGCTATACGCCACAAGGTAAATTATCATGACCCGGGAGGGGAAAAAAAATAACGAGAATGCAAAGCAATCTACGAATGTTACCTTATAGTATAGTAGAAAAGAATCTTTATTTGTACATGGGTAAAGGATTGATTGGGGGGGGGGGGGTTTCGTATCTTGCGCCTCGTTCAAAATCAATTCGGTTTATCGGAATGCCGCAAAATCAGAACTTGCCAGAGCAAGTTTCGCGCGCGCGCGCTTTTTTATAATAATGAGCATGCTATCATTATTTATTTTTCGACTGACAAGTGCTTTATTTCCTCCTCTAAATTAATATCTTTTCCCCTCTAAATTAATATCTTTTCCCCCAACCTTTTTTTTTCCTATTAGATCACCGTCCCGATCACGGCAACGTTTTCTCAGATACGCTCACTAAAGACACTAGACTTTGGAGGAACCAAAGAGCAAGTGTACGAACGTTCCGATTGGCCGAAAGAAAAGTATCAAGAATTCTTCAAAAATGATACGATCGCCGTCATCGGGTATGGCCCGCAAGGGAGTGGTCAAAGTTTGAATGCGCGTGATAACGGTTTGAACGTGATCGTTGGATTAAGAGAGGGCGGGAGAAGTTGGAAAGAAGCTGTTGAGAATGGGTGGGTGAGTTGAATTTTGTGATAAATTTTTATGGGCTGTGTTTTTTTTCCTTCTCGGATTTCAACCTCTTTGTCTTTTGGGGGAAAATACGTCGAATTTCAAAACAAAAACATCTTTTTCGGGAATAGGTTCCAGGAAAGACTTTGTTTCCGATTACAGAAGCTGTACAGAAGGGTACTATCGTACTAAACCTGCTTTCGGATGCAGCACAAAAGGAACTCTGGCCTGCTATGAAACCACACTTGACTGCGGGAAAGACTCTATATTTCTCTCATGGGTTTTCCATAGTATTCAAGGATGATACTCATGTCATTCCCCCAGATGACATTGATGTTATAATGGTTGCACCTAAAGGGTAAGTAGTCTTTTTCCCGCATCTCACCTCACCCCACCTCACCTCACCTCACCTCATCGCCCGACATTTTCTATTGTCATCATCACACTACCTATCCTAACGCTTACTATTATTCTCTCAGTTCGGGGAGAACTGTCCGTTCTCTATTTCTCGAAGGCCGTGGGATAAATTCCTCTTATGCCGTATACCAAGACGTCTCTGGCAAAGCTAAAGATAAAGCCGTTGCTTTGGGAGTCGCGATAGGTTCCGGGTATTTGTATGAAACTACCTTCCAGAGAGAAGTCGTCTCTGACCTTGTTGGCGAACGAGGTGTCCTTATGGGTGCAATTCAAGGCCTATTCTTGGCCCAGTATGAAGTTTTGCGCGCTAATGGGCATACGCCGTCAGAAGCGTTCAACGAAACCGTAGAAGAGGCTACGCAGTCGCTTTATCCCTTGATCGGAGAGAATGGGATGGATTGGTACAGAATTCTTGTTTAACTATTTGTATACCGTTGATCTACAAACCGATTGCTGAGGATATTCATTCGTTAACGGGGACTTCTGTTTTTGATAAAAGGATGTACGCATGCTGCTCCACAACCGCTCAAAGAGGAGCGTTGGATTGGTATAAACCTTTCCACAAGGCGGCAAAACCCGTCTTTGAGGAATTGTATAGAAAGGTGGCAGATGGTTCAGAAGCTCGTCACGTAATAGAAAAGAACTCTTCCCCGCAGTATCGAGAAGAATTAGAAGTAGAATTGAAGGAAATCAGGTAAAAAAACTCTTTCCGTCCCCTCTCTGTTTCAAACCGTCTTTTTCTCCCCGTACTGAAATCAATGTTTGAATCTTTCCAGAGAGAGCGAAATCTGGCGTGCCGGTAAGACTGTGCGAAGTCTCCGACCCGAGCGAAAATCGTAGAAATGAAACAAACGGATGGTAGCAAGCGGGACAACGGGAATCCTTAGAGACTGGGAACTTTCAATTGTCAATTATTATTTTTTTGGGTGAATTATTGTAAATACACTCTTTTGTTTCCTCGAGTGTGCAATTACAAAGTAAAGAATATTCAAATCTACTTATCGTAGTAGACATTCAAGTAATCTCTCGTTCCCCGTTCATGTTTCCTTGTCATGCGAAAGCCATTGTTTGGAACATACGTAAATTTCTAGTCACAAAAGAATCGAGGGGGGGGGGGGGGGCCGCCATAATTATTCAAATGTAAAATCCCAAAATAGGAGATGGCAGCTTTTTTTTTTAGAAGAAAGAACTAAATTGTAAAGAATTTCGCACGCTTCCCCGTATGACGTCCAATTGGCAGGAATGCAAACCAGATTCATTTAGGGATGTTGACCTAATTTAATCTCGCCTCCGTTTACACAAGCTTCCATCGAAAGTAAGTTGTACCCAGGGGCCTTTATTTAGCTTCCGTGAAATGTTGGTTGTGCCAGCCGTAATAATCACAACATGCAAAATGTAATTCTCATTCATTTATATTTAAGGGGATTGGAAACAGACAAGGGGTTGTAGGTTTACGATAATTGTTGCTCTTCCCCTTCCCCCTTGCCTGCCTTTAACGCCACCACCAGCGGGAGTGTATACCCGAAGACGCAGAAGCCCATCCTTCTGGGGGTAAATTGATGCTAGGGTAAGTGAATGGGTGTGAGTAAGAGTGAGCAAGTTGAGTTTGATGAGTTAAAGTGGGGGGGAGGTTGATATGTTAACACGGTCTAATTTTCAATTCTCAATTGTTTTCTAGAGTTGAGATTTTTACTCCACATTCATTGAATGTTTTAAACACTCTTTGCGAGATAACGTTTAATTAACGACTTTTGTCATCGTCTGCGCGCGTGTAATTACCTATTTTACATACCAAAAAACCATTTCATCCGAGCTTTTTTTTTTTTACTCTTTTACGTCTCTCACGACATCATCCTAGCAAGATATTATCGCAAAAACACTTTTGATCCTCGTTTTCTACCCTTTCCTCTATCAGTACTTGATACAAGTTTTGTTTTTTTAACGACTATCAAAATGTGGTGTGATAACTGTTGTCTACTGTTTCCACTTCGCGCTGGTGGGATGGTCCTCGCTACTATAATGGCGGTAAGTATTATTGTATTGAATAGGAATGCTGCAAGAGACGGTTTGTGTAACGCGGATTTTAAATCGGTAAAGCTAAATTTTCTATCTTAATCGACCAGATTTACAGCATAGCTGGTGGGATCATTCTATTCAATTATGGAGGTGGGTATATACTCTAGCTGCAATATCAAGAACATATATGTGTGTATACTTGACATGATAATTTTTTCTAATTGTATTTTCTCTTTTGTTTAGAATTCCTCTTTTTCCATTTTCCCGAAGCTCAAATATACGGTGGCTATGCAATGGCACAGGGGGCGATAGCAATCATTATTGTATTCGTCTTAGCCAATGTATGTATTCACTTGATTTTGTTTCAGCAAGATCTAATAACATCCAAATTAATAAATTTTCACTTTTCCCCTTCCTCTCTTCCTCTCTTCCTCTCAGCGGTCCTTCATATTCACACGCGTCCTCTATCGCATATATCCTGTCATCGGTATCCTTGGAATAGTGCGCGGGGGTGTAATGGCATGGGAATTGCAATATTTCAAAGATCGTATCGTATGGGAATGCCAGAATGGCGGTCATAAATGGATAGATCCGAATGCACCGCCCAATCCATCGACCGTTCCACCAAAGACTCTTCCCACAACTCTGCCACCTGCTTTCTGCAATCAAGGCGTTAATAATCTAGTTCTAATCTTTACTGGCTGCCTGATTATTGACTTTGTTCTGATGGTGGGTGTATAACATTACATAACGACTTGTAAGCAATGATTCTCAAATTCCAACTGCTAATATCATCATCTTCCTTTGCACGTAGCTCTACATGTTTTTCCTCTTGTGGAGATTCCACACTAGGCTGCGTCACTATTCGGTGACTTGTGAAGACTTATACGGATGAAGAGACTAGAATAATGTTAATGATACGATTTATTCTCATGACAGTCAAGTATTGATGTAATATTGTGTGCAATTATCTTCCCGCTGTATCTTATCCTGTGATTATTAGTGATTGTATTATGAATCTGTAAAATGGACATTTGATATATTACGTTTAGTATACATTTTAACGGAAAAATTAAAGAGATATTCAACCGGCAGGCTATAAACCATAACTCAAAAATGCGCATGCTTGTTGTATTGAAAGTTCATCTTAGCGTGTGTATCACTCTATGTATATGCTTGGGACGGGACATGTCTGCCCAATGTTTCCAAAATTCTAATTGACGGTACACCTCTACGGCCCATCACTGGTTTTGCGGCTCGGCTAGCAGCAGCCTTTTAATGACTTTTTAAACCAGGAGCCCGCGATGTTCGTAGGGAAAGCAATGACGTAGCTAGCATTACGTCACGAGTAGTACAGTACATGCGAAATTGTCAGATCATATGAACTTTTATTCAGAACGGGATGCTTGCTAAAGCCCAATTTTAAGCTGTTTTCACCTACACTACCCTAGAGAAAGTATTTGGTCAAGCGTTTTTTAAAAATTTCAAGATTGAACACATTAACTAGACAAAAAATGGTTCCTCTGGTTTTGACGATTTTGAATATACGTTTATATTTGTGCTACGATGTATTGATAAAGCGTAAACGCGAAAACGTAAACAATTTGATTGCATCCGACAATCGTGAAGTAACGAGTTTGAATGTAGACGGTTATTGGAAAGTCCCATGGAGCTATACGCTCGTATTCAAAGTGCTGTTACAGCCAACAAATCTTCATGAACTTGAAAAAAAGGTATTGCCTGAAACTTATATTAAACTTATTGAAAGCTTTCCAACTAGAATTGATGCATGCATTAGGAATCAAAGATGTGCCTACAGAGTATTAAATGTTATGTTTGTGTTAAAAATTTAAACAAATATAAATATTTTTTTTGTTGACCAACTACTTTTCCTAGGGTGGTGTATCTTAATCCACTTTACATGTAGAGGAAGATATTCAACCTTGACATACAGACTGTCAAGCAAAGTTTGTCTTGTATGGTGTGAAAAGTACGCATCAAATTTCAAACAATATTATAAACAGTACTTGTGAGTAGGAATTCGAAACAGCCTTTTCTGGTAAAATTTATCCTAAAGCTCACGACAGTGTTTGAGTACGTTTTGTGACGCAGCATTATATTAATATACTAATAAAATTTCTCACAGAAATAGAGCGATCTTCGATTTAGTCTTTCGCCTAGTTATAGTCGGGAAATATCATTTCCTAATTAAACAACAAGCAAGTACCGCGGTTTCTTCGAAAGTATAACCAATTATCTTCATATAGGTACATAAATCGTTGTGCCCACATAGTAAATACTGTATGATACCGCTTTTGAAGAAAAAGGGGTTTCAACACTTTTTCCCGGTGAGTGTATGTGATATCGATACTGTAATTATTAAACTGTAGCCTTAAAATAATAACGGAACTAAATATATGTTCAAAAAAGCAATTAATTGGCTTCAAACTGTATAAAATTTATAATGACTACGTGATCGAAAAAATTTACCGATACTTTTTCGGGATAGCTTGGAAATAAAGTTGCATCAACTCGTACTTTGTCGGGGTGTATGTAAGAGTAAAGCATATCATATTTAATTTATTTAATTGTAACTATTGGATAAAGCTTGAATACCGTAAACAAGTCCGCTGAAATAAAAGTCTTCAAAAAGAGGTTGAATCTCTAAATACACGAAATACTCGGGGTTAACATTGTAAATTGACTTTATTTGTATTAACATGTTGAATCCAAATCATGATTATTTCTCGGTTTAGGCAAAGTTCCAGTTGGTAAGAGTGTGCTGGAATATTTACTCTCTTTCTCGAGACGTGATAAGGGTTTTACATCAGTATATTTGATAGTATTCCACTTGTTGTCACCAGATTTACAGTGTGTAACGAAAAAACCGCTATCATAAAATATACCATAACTCAATGGCCATGCAAAATTTTTAAACAATTCCAATTTTTTTTAAAAGCTTAT